GTCTCACAAAAAGTGGAAATACTTTGCATGGGACCAGAGTCTGAGCTTACAAATTCCTTAATGATACTTTTAATTGAATAAGTCAGCTCAGCTAAAGTGTGCATTAAGAGGATTATTGTGATGCAACCCTTCTTTACCACAAAGATTCACCAAAGAATGGGTGTTGTTGTATATACAAGCACCCAGCTGTAAAATTAACAAAACAGTACACCACCATTTTACCTGTTCTTTTTATTTCCATTTTCCTTATTTGCCCATCACAAGGAATTTAACATCTGGGTATAGTTTGCTTTTGCCTTCATTACAATACTTTAATGACCTCAGTTCACAAAGTTAGTGCTGGATGATAGGAACACTCAAATGCCGGTGGAGCTGGCCTTTGAAATTAACCAAACAGAACAACAAACTGTTTCTTTCATTTCCATTTTCCTTAGCACACATTTGAATTTTGTTAATTTCAAAGGTTAGCTCCACCTGCATTTGAGTGTTTTTATCATCAAGTAATTACTTTGTGAACTGAGGTTCAAAAACTATTATAACTAAGGCAAAAGCAAACTAAATGGAAAAATTAGTAAAAAATAAAAACTAAACTATATTCAGCACTCTAATTAAGGCAATGATTGAAATAAGTAGGCCACTAAGGTAATCAGCCCAATGCCTAGTAGTACTAATTGTAAAGTTTACAACTTGTACAAACTTAAGTTAAAGATTGTTTCTCTTGTTTCATGCATGTACTCTGTGCACTGTTTGTGTACGGGAATATGATTGGTCTGTATAGCCAAACTAAGGTTTGACACTGTATATGTCCATCATGAACACACATAATCCTTCACTTGCAACTTAGACATATGGAAAGATTTCAAAAATTCATTCTGAACCAGTGGTCCTTTCTTTCAGCTAATTTCCAAAACAGTGGTTTGCACAGAACTTAAGAGAGATCTTATTATGTCTAAGCATGAAATGATGTCATACAGTCACATGACATCTGCTACTAGATGGCTTGCCAATGACATGTGGCAGGGTCATGAACCTAACATTCCTTTTCCTGACCAAGGCACTCAGTCAAGTTAGGGGTAGAAAGATCTGCAGTGAAACTCCACAAATGTAAAATTTGTCTCACAAGTTGCATCTACAATGTCATTGGAAATACTCGACACAAAACATCTAAGGGCCTCATCCATACAAAACTGCAAGGAAATTAAGAAGAAAAAGCTTCAGTAAGCTGTGATGCATTGTGAAACTGACAGTTCTCAAGACCAATTAGGTAAAGGGGACACTATCAAGGTGATATTTAACCTTCAGTTTGAGGGAGTAACGAATTTATCACTCCTTTAAAAATAAAAAAATCTAGCATGATCTGTACAATATTATACAAAGCCAGCAATAAATGGACATCACAAGACTGAAATAATATCAGACAAAATCTTAGTTTGTTTCTCATCAAAAAAGTGCTGTGCTGTGTGTACTCACTGTAATTGTTTGAATTCAACTGTTTGAAGTATTAATGTGGCTAGACTACATGAACATTATGAATTTGAAGCAATCCATTTTCACATCATGTATTTATGTATATCATGGATTAAACTGTTGAAAAATACATGATCAAAAAAAAGCATTTGAAGTACCAGGTGTCCCTCTTGACCTATGGTATCCACTCTATTAGCTCATCCTCAAAACAGTGGTTTACACAGTACATAAAGGGAATTTTATCTCCCTGACGTCCTGGCATGATGTTATACACGTGGCATCTTTTAATGGATGTTTCACCAGCTGGATGTACCAGAAAATCATCCTCATCCTGATGACCAGGGCACTCAAGTGAGGGGCAAGCAGGTCCACAGTGAAACTTCA